AGCTTAATAACTGCATCTTACGTTAAATATATGATTTAAGCGAATTTTCTTTTTAGGAAGTGTCAGGAACCGGGAAGGCGTGAAACGACCGAGAGTTCTTCTATTGAATTTGTCGGGTATCGGATGCCGCAGCACGAGCAAAATGGCCGTTCAGGCATCGATCAATAAAAGTGTGTCAGGTTTTTTTCGATTTTATAGTGTGTCGGGTTTTATTAAATGCAAGATTTTTGCTCATAAAGGTTCAAACAACTTGCGCCACGCCAGGAGATTATCTCGCCTACTGAAACCGCAAACCAATGGCGTCAATGACGATGGTTCAAGATTTCCTGGGAAAAGTAACCCACTGCGGACACGTTTTTTATCATTGTTATTATTATTATTATTTTTTTTTATCTCGATCGCTCAGTAGAGCATTGAGAAAGATGACACAATAATGAGCAAAGTTTCTTAAGGCAAAGGAAAAAGTAGCGACAAAAATGGAAAGACCGGAGAATGTGCTGAGGAGCAGGACAACGAATCGACAGACGGCTTTCAAAATTACGATTCGAGACGATTGTTAATTGTTTTTGTATATATCAAGGCTAGTTCTTGCATTAAGAAAAGGAAACGTAATTTTAACATTATGTTTGGCAGATTTTGGTTTGATGGCGACTTCTTTGTTCGAAATCTGGGCGCCAGCGTGGAGCTCCGCCAGTACCACTCGTTTTCAAAAAGGAATTTTTTTCCTTTTTTGACAGAATGGTACTCTTTCTCTCTTCTTTGGGTCTGTTTTTTTTAAAATTTTTTTACCAGGGACTTTTTTCCGCTTTTGATTCTCCCATGAGCAAAGATTTTTCCATAAGCAAAGAGCTTCCATGAGTGAATTGTGCTAAGTGCGCGCTGTAAACAAAATATGGAAATAACATGAAAAAAGGAGGGGATTCGCCCAGGTCCGAGATTATGACCCCTTCCTGATTTATTAACTCGGGTGCTTTTAAAGATTTTGTTTATGGAAACGTTAGGTTGAACGTTTAAATTCTATTTAGACAAATAAAAGAAAACTGGATTTTTCAGCTTCTGAAGGTGGGAAGTAACATTAAATACTAAAATATCAAGAGAAAGGCTGGTTAATCGTAGCTGTTTGCCACATTATTTGCAATTGTGCACGTTTTGTGATAATTTCGGACGCAATACCGATCTACTGCCTGACCTAATCCTGTCTCAGTTAAAACGGATCATTTACAGAGGTGTTCTTTGGGTACTAAAAATGTTTTCATTACAGGACGTTCGTCAGCGATGCAAATATTGGAACGTGAGCAAAGCGTGTTGCATGGCTTAGTCCTGTTTCTAGTACAAAGGATTACTAACTAAGGCGTTCCTGGGGTATTGAGAATATTCTCCTTACAGGAAGTTCACCTTGGGGAATTAATCTTAAACTTTTAACGAGTAGTTGAACGAGGATAGATTTGGCTGAATGCAACTGTCCAAAACAAATATGAGTTTAACTCTGAAATATCACAATCGCATGATGTCCGCTTTGGTCTCAGCGAGAACCAAGATAAGATCACGTAAGCGGTGCTTCTCGTAAATTCAATCCCCAAATTCAAGTTTCAATCTTTTTTCACATTTTTTCACTCTTTCCAAAATGCAGAATCTTGCATAGATTCTCTGTTTGTCTCGGAGCTTGAAGGATAGTCAACGATATTACGCACGCGAAGTAACGATATAGATATTGATTGTTTTGACAATCGAGTTTAAAATAGGCTTGACCTTTGTTATATACAAGCTAATTTATGTATAACTTTTTCAGAATGCCTTCAACGGAAAAGAGCATTGTTGGGTGAAGAGTAGTGAAAAGTGGCTAACGCCGGCTCAAACCTGATATGGTAGCTTTAACGGAGACTTTCATTGGCGCGAAACAGAATTCGCCAGGATCCTCAAATAAACGACTTTCCTTAAAATACATGTTTGAATACAACAAGTCAAATTTAAGACTTGTTGTCGCAACGTGCTGAATAAAGCTAGATACTAGATTAATCCATCATTTTCTGAAGCTAACATTACAGCATTACATTGCGTTTCGTGTATCTGGATCTTGTCCTCATCGAGTAAATATGGGGCCACGGCAGAAAGAAAAACAAAACCGGCAATACTGAAGACGTTGTTTATCATCTTATCTAAAACCTTTCCTTAAATGTTCTAGGTCTATACAAGGGAAGATTATGTCGTCCATTGAGTGAATAACTTTGATACTTGTCACAGTAGAGACAGTAAACTGGTTCTTGTTTACTTTTGTCAGTTGATTTTTGGATATTTAGCAGATCTATCAACAAGACAAAGAATTATCAGCTGGATATCTTTCTCCACCCGGTCAGTATTGTTGAGTCCGCGCAGGGTGAGAGGCTAACACTTGCTGTTAACACAGCGTAAATAAATAAATGATTTAATAAGGGCCTGTTTACATGGAGGTGGGGGACCCCAGGTAGGTGAGGTTACCCGCCTAAGTGGGGTAACCCACCTTTCCATATAGTCTCTTATTTTATCTCGATCACGTTTACATGGTTGGTGGGGTGACCCGGTCTGCTGGTATGTTAACTCTGTCAGCCGGGCTGACAATTTGCCATTTTTACATTTCCTAGCCGTCCCATGCAGAGCTAAAACGTTAAAACACCATTTTTTACGTCCTCTTAGCAATGAAACCTCGACAGCAATTTAGTCACGTTTTTACTTTGAACCCAACACTACAATCGCATGTTATGCCGCAGTGAGGATGTTGTACCGTCAGAAACTGTTAACGCATCCAGCTACTGGCAAAAATCTTAAAGGAAAATAGATTACGTTTTTTTCGGCAACGTTTTACTGCACGTCGCCGTTAAACTCCCTAATTACAAGTGCGATAACAACCGCGAGAAACTTTACCCCGGCATCCCAGGGTTGTAAGATTAAATGTAAACGTGAGCTTTTTATCGACCTCGGCTAGGCGGGTTACCTCACCAACCTGAGGTCCCCCACTTCCATGTAAACAGGCCCTAAGATTGCAGTAGGATTTACACTGGTAATCTGTCATCTCCGTGCGGTTGAACAATTTTTCAGACAGTGACAAACCTCTGGTACCTTCAGTGGCAGCAGACTGAAAACAGTAATGACACTTTTCTCTAGAAGTCCGGCAAATAATTTTTTTACAGAGACTCAATGATACAACTTCATGTTGAAACCATATGCAAGACACTTGAATCTGGTGCGTAGACAACCAGAAACCTTGTCAGTTCTCGCTAAAACATTCCATTCCATTACATACTGTACTCTGTCTGTATAACCCTTAAGAGTAGTTAAAAGAGTAAACTGGTCAGTGGAAAGAACGACCCGGTTCACAACTGGACTGCAATTAGAATGTAGTGCCTAATGAACGAATTATACATTGTAGTGCCTAATGAAAGAGTTCAGACGTCTCCGAAGCTACAATTGTTTTCTCAGGCTTGATACGTACGTTTCGGCAATTGCTCTGAGCAGACTACCTGTAGGAATTATTTAGTCAGATATCATCCTTGATTCGAACATGGGTAATTTCTTACATTATTCATGATGTTTTTTTTTATCATATTCTTGTAAAGGGAAATAAAGAATCCGCCAACTGTGACTCGTTACTGACGAGTAGCTTCGTAGGTCAGTTGATACTAGCGCGCAACTTATGTTTCACAGGGAAAATCTCGCGAGTATTGAAGCCTAAAATCGTCAAAGTCAGTCAACTGCTGCAATTTGCCGCTGCGAAGAACACCTTGTCACCTATCATGTACAAGTGGCAGCCAAACAGGGTTTAGATCTCGATAACTCATTTCCGAGGCAGGTACCTCTATTTTGAAAACAAGGTTTTCGGGTCGTTTCATATTTTGTGTCCACCTTAAGGGAGAGCCAAGTTATTGCTTTATAATTGGACTCGACTAATTTAATTAGAAGTCGGACAGATTGTTCTCTGTTCAAGTTGTTTGTACTAGCCTTTTACTCTCAAACAATAAAATCACAAAGCAAAATCACAAACAAAATAAAATTCCCAAGAAGTTAGGGAGACTGCATGGACAACATGATCAGAGAGTTTGCTCAGACGCTCTCTTTCTTTTTTCGAAAGTTGAATTGTACATATATACGAAAATATTTTGCGCAATCATTGCAAAAGTTGTTAGAGACGCCATGGATACCGTCTGAGAATACATTATTTGTTGGATTTCGTCATCATTTCACAGTCATTACGTGAGAAGAATTGAATCTTTGTTGGAGTGTAGTTGCATTCTTCCACGGTCTGTTTAATTGGACGAGTTGCTTCATATCCTCTCAGCTTTAAAAACTTTCAAAACAAAACAGAGTACCTGCTGTGGCGTTATCGCCTGTTTTTTTAAACACTTATTGCAGTTCTCGTGAAATCTTTTTGTTTGCCGAGTCCTGTTCCGGTTACACAATTCGCATTCCAATCTCTATAATTGTACTCTGAAATAGCTTACATTCTTTCACTCAAAATACTGATAATTTTAGCGTTTTTGAGCTTCAACCTTTTAAGAGGTCACGAACTCGCCGGTAAGACTGGATCAAACACTTTTCGCTCCAGGACGCCGTTTTAAATGCTAAAAACTTCATTAAAGATGATCATGTAATTGGAAGAGTTTGTTGTTACATGAAATTGGAGTGGAAATCATTTGTTAATCTAATAAACCGATGTCACAGTGTCGCCCTGGTGAGAAAACTTGGGCGTGGACTAAAATGCCCCCTATTTGGTATATCCATGAACGAGTAGAAAAAAATAATTTTCTGAATAGGAAGAAAAAGTTTCTTATGTCGTATTGACGTTATTTTTTACCCGGATATGATGGTTAAAACAGAAAATTAGATTGAAGCCGAAGCGTAAAAAGAGATGGAACTAAATGAAAATCAGCTCTGTCGCCTAGAACAAAGCGTTCAGCGAATTGGCCAATCAGCTCTCGCTGTCATGTCTGCGTAGGTTGACTTCACGTAATATCTTCGAGTTGAACGCTTCAACCACATTGTGCAACGCGAAGCATTTCACTTGCGAGACAGCGGTCATTAATAAGAGAAATCTTTATCTTCATTACTTAGCAAAATGATTTCCAAGGAAATTATTTTACTTTTGTGTTTTTATTTTAGTTTGAGATTTCTGGTTCGTGCTCATGAACTACCAAAGCAGGAGCATGAGCACTATAGTTTTACAGCGTTACAAGAAACATTAAATGGCGAGGTTCTCCTCTCAGATGATGTCAATAGACTCCTCTCCAAGCTGCATTTCTGGAACTGTTCAGACAGCAGTGCTAGGATCCACCACAGAACGGTAAAGGGAGATAAGTTAACATGTTAAAAACACGATCTTTGACCTTGTGGTTCGTTGAATTTAAGTTAGGAAATAGATTCGCTCGATTCCCTCCGTTCATGAAAAAGTTAATAAAACTCCTGTATTCAATACTCGAATGAAGTAGCTCTTCTTTGATGTATCTTTAGCTAATGCCAAAGCATCAAAAGAATCGAAATTGTCATAGTTTTGCTTAGAAAACACTAAAGAAATAGAGATCGAATCATGCGTTTTCCCTGTCGTTGTTTCGCCGAGCACGCGGTTCCTTTGTCTTTCTCGTCTCTTTGATCGAATTTTTTGCTATCTAGTGTCTCTCCACGACGGATGTCTTCAATTACGCTGGGTCATCGGTTACACAGTTGAATTCCAGCGAATTTGTTGAAATCAGTCCCATGATTGTTTACTGTCTGCTGCCTGCGCCTGAAAAGAACCCTGGTCGATGTTCACCTCCCAAGAACCACAGCGAACTTTACAACTTCTTCGCAAGGAATGTCAGTCAACATGGCGAACACGGAAACATTACGCATGAAGCATTGGATGAAATATTGGACAAGATCAACTCGACGATCGGGAAACATTTAACTAAGAAAAAGGTGAGAGAAAAAAATTTGAATCTGATGTGTTTTTCTTTTCTTTTTTGTACAAAAAATGTTGCGCACCTAGTTGAACGTTGCCGTGCTTAAGGTACTTTCAGTTTTCGATCGATTCAAGACTTAGGGTTGAGAATAAAATATACCAACATGTTGCTTCCACGTGGCACAAATGAAGTAATCGCTTACTCTAGTTAATTCCCTTGAAATAGCTATGTAAGCAGGATTTTCTTTAAGGTTTTTAATTAGCCAGAGCTTTTTTAAAGGTAAACGGTATTCATATATCGAAATCCAACAGGGCGGACAAAACGTCATGCTGTTCGTACTTTCCTGCCACCGCAGCAAGATTTGTCAAAAAGACAGTCCCCATCAGAACGTTTTTAAACTAACCTTGACTCAGAAGTCTTTTTTATTTTTTTCAGAAAAGATAGGCAGTGCAAATTTATATTTTTATTGAGCCCAAGTTTAGACCTGATGAACATCATCTCTGTACTGCTCTCGAAGTAATGAAAGTAGCCGGCAAAACCTTGAAGAGAAGCCGGCGTACTTCACCGGCTACCGGCTCTTATCTACAACCCTCAGTAAGGTTTTCACTGGGTGGCATGTAATCGCGTTACTAGTTTGAGCTGTCTTTACATTACATCTCTTAAAAAAACGTGGCGACCATTGTGAAGCAGTTTTGAAGCGCAATTACTTGACCGAAATTTCTCCCCGTGTGTCTCTTTTGGAAGTAGTTTACATGTGTAATCTATGACACTCGTATCGTGTCGACGGATGGTCTTAAAATAAACCCAAACCCAACTTTTCTTTACGTAAAGCTTCATATCGTGTCGACCGAATTAAAAAAATGCTTAATGCGGACTTAATATTCAAAGTCGAGAAAATTCCAGGGGAAGATGTGTTCCAGCTATTTTTCTATATCTAGTTGTCATTTTAGGTATTGGTGTGTTTTTCCACACGGACTTTATACGTTTAAGAGGTTTTTTTACCATAACTTCAGTAAGACAATTTCTTTCTAAAAATGGAAGTGCATGCTCTGGCAGAGTGCCAGCTGCAGTGACATGTTTTGTTGGTATCAGAGATTGGAATTAGAGGCCGCATTCTTTTCACGTGGAGCAAGATAATGGACAGGTGATCCTGTCTTTTTATCATGAGATTATCATTGCTGATTATTAATTGTTTAAAAAAATGTTGTGAATTCTCATCGCATGAGGTAAGGTTAATAATACTCTGCTTAGAAGGACTCTCCTTATCAAGGAGATAAGCTTGTGCTGGTTAAAAATTGTCATTAATTTCCTATCTTTTCAATAGATTGCAACAGTGGCCAGGATTTTTCTGGTCACAGCATATTTGCAACAACAGGTGGAGTAAACTTGAAAGAATGCAGATTATGACTGAGATGTTCTATTCAGTCAATGTCAACATTCCACAAGAGGTTCCTTTTAATTATATAACTCTGCAATAGCAATGGGTTTGATTCTGAAAGAGAAACTAATATTTGTGGAAAGAGGAAGTTGTTTTGCTCACTTAAAGATTTTAAGGGACAAAAGCAGCAGGCTTACATGTAGAGAAGGTTAATTAAACTTCCACCAACAAGCCTTAAAACAGAGGCCCATTTATTAGTGATCCCTGATGAGTCAAGTGCTTTAATTCAACTCTGAAAGAGTTTGGCGATGAGAATAGGTAGACTTTTTTATGAGTAATTGTTGTAAATATAGGCTTCTCGAAATCTCCAGACTGCTGAGTCATGCTGATTTGCATACAATAGAACTCTCCAGAACATTTCATCATTCATGCATTTATTATGTAAAACAACTAAAAACAGTTCTTATGTAAGCCTCCAGAACACTTTGTGAATATATATAAAGACTCACTTATGTAGTAGTAGGTAGTTGTTGTTGTTGGAGCAATGACTGTTATGAAAGCTATACAGAGAGAGAGAGTTGCTGTAGAAGATTGCTCATTTCAAGGAACTTTTGGAGACAGCAGTGAGATTGTGTCAGTGGTGCGCAAGGATATGGCCTGTGGTGGGGTTAATTAAGTTTATTTGAGATAAATATTGTACTACTTTAAGGAGTCATTCCTTATTAAGAACATTGCCAGCTGGTTAATGAAATAGTTGAGTTTGTGAGATTGTAGTGTTTATCTGCCAGTTAGATTATACTGTAACAACTTCTAAAGATTTGGTTTAACTTTAATGCATAAACTTTCAGACAAAGGCACATTTGAACACATCATTACTGTGAAGATTGCTTTCATATTCAAAGGCACATTTATAAGTCATCAAAGTGATCCTATTCATTTTTAAAGATAAGTGTGGAAAATGTGCAGACTTAGCATGAAATAGTTGCACTTGCACTTGTTAAGCTTTAAAACAAAGGTCCACTTATAAAACATCCTAATTAATTGTTTATGGTCTAGCAGATTTTATGCAGTCAAAAATTATTAATTGACAATGACTGCAGAGTTAAAGCAATGTGGTAATTCTTGTTTAGTTAAGAGATGTGGTGTTGAGCTGGTATAATAGTCTCAGGGGAATTAGTGTACAGTACAAGGGGTGTTATCATCATCTGTTTGCTTTGTTTAGTATGGATACTGTAAGGAGAATTCTCATGGATCTACCATTTCTTGAAGTTGAAGGGTTTAAAAAAGCTGACTGCCAGCAGACTAGTTTGTGATCTCAGCCAGTTACTTTGCACTCTGGTGGCTACTGCACTGAGTCTGTCTGAACATTTAACTTCTTGTGTTTCTCATCATGCAACTTCAGCTCACAATTTCAAGACATTATCCACCAAACACGTGATGAGACTAGAAAAAGTTTTCATTGAAAGAGAGTTGTTTTGATATTGCACCAATCTCTCATCACCTATTTGTGAAGAAATGTGTATTGGAGAGAAAGGAGAATTACAATGTAGTGAAAGAAAGGCTGTTTACTTGATGATCCTAAGGTACAATTCATCAACTTGTAAATTATGCCTTAACAATCTTCCAATTTTGAGAGAGTATCAGGACAAAACCTGAATTTTTTTTTGTAAAATTTACATTAGGATTCTTATTAATGTGTCAAATTGGGAACTGTGAATAGTTGTCCAATGGTTAGACAAGGAAGAATGTGAAATTAAGAAGTGACTGTTTTCTTCATTTGTTCCTGTGGAAAAAGCTGGCTTACACTGTTGACAAGGTAGTTGCCTACACAAACTAGGTGAATTGCTTTGTTGAAAATTATGTCACTTGTTTCAAACACCTCTACATCTTAGTTTTTAACTACTATGTTGTTCATGTGCGATAGCAATATACTTTGTTTCCACAAGGCTGTCAACAGAAGTATAAAAGAAAGTGTGACAAGCAAACAATCTATCTGAGGAGTCCTTTTATGAGCATTTGACTTCATATCAGGAAAATTTGACAGTGATGTGTAATTAAATTCATGCTTGTGAAAGTTTATAAATCTGTCTTTTTAGATGAGTGTTTTCAGTTACATTAGGTAGGATAGTTTATTGAGCAATAATCACTTAATTGCTCACAGTTTTTTTGAAGGAAACATGGAACTTAAATGAGATCAGGAGGAAGCATTAAAACAAATCAGCTGAAAATTTTCATGTCATTCTATTAGTGGGTAAAATGAATTGAGTATGCATTTTAAAAATATTTCAACTCACTAGTTTTATCAGAATGAGCATAAATATGGTGCTGTTGTTGTGTAAATTAGAAGAACTGTAATGAATAGTGGTGGGAAATTTAGGAAAATGAACCATTAAAAAAGACTATCAATCCTGATTCCTGTAGATGTAGTAACAGGAAAAATGGCTGCTCTCCTACCCAGTTATCTTTTGTTTTAAGGAGGGAAGGTGTTCACGATGTGTATTGTTTGGCATATAACTTTCACAGCTTTGAATGCTACTTTACTTTACATAGATGAGTGTGATTTAGGAAAAATCTAACAGTTTCTTTGTGTGTGTGTTTTTTTTGTAGTGTTTTTCTGCTGAAGACATTGTTAAAGAGATTGAGGAAGAAAAAGATCACCATCATGAAGAAGAAAAAGATCACCATCATGAAGGAGAAGATCACCATCATGAAGAGGAAGAGAAAACCCTCGACCTGGGAGACTTTCAAAATGCCTGTGCTAGTATTGTGCTACATTTAGTACAGGGATACTGCATTGAAGAAGCCCATGGTCACAATGAGACCTCATCTCTACCTTCAAGGGAGTTCTTCATGAATGAGCTCTTTGAGAACAAGACACGCCTCCTTGAGGAAGATTTGGAAGCAATTATGAAAGTCCTAAAAATTGGTAAAGTTGAGTCATCAGGTGGAGAGGATTCACATGGTCACAACCATCGACGAAGACGATCTGCTGGGTCCCTCTTGTCCTCATCACTGGAATCAAAGACCTCTCATTCTGTTCATCGCCGTGAAGTTGATGATCATGCTCATGCTCACGAGACTGGAACTGTAAGGAACATAGTTATTGATTTACCCTTTAACTTCCAAGATCTGATTGTTAATTCTCCCTTCTAGCTGCCACACCTTTCCATGTGATTTAGTTATTAGAATTTGGTAGTAGATCAAGATAGCAACCACCTCATAGGTTTGATTATTCTCTAATCGTCATTTGTTCTGATCAGTGAGGGGTTTGTTATTGCTGGTGTTGTTTACATGTTGGGCAAACTTATTGTTGTGAAACAACAGTATAAAAAGAGGGTGTGTTGTATCATTACATTCCCAGTGTTACTCCCTTGATGACATGCTGACAGTTTTTGATATTGATCACGAGACTGGTGCAGATAAATTTGACTTCAAAGAACTATGCCCTGCTTTCATTCAACAAGCCAAAAGTGGACATTGCAATGAAGCTGCTCCAACAGCTGTACCTAACACTGATAAAGACATGGGAAAAAGTAAGTGTTTCTATGTAAGGCTGTTATTTCATATTTAGCTACTTAAGTCTCATTCTGAAAGTGTTTTTCAATGCATAGTTAAGTCAGCACTCCAAGCTACAACTCTTTTGGTAAAAAAATAACCAACTTAGCAACTTGACTGTCTGGTAATTTTGAAGTTAGCTGTAGGATTTATTCTGCTCTGTGCTTATGGTCTAAGAGTGTGATCAATGTTAAAATGGTAAAGGTAAAGAATCCAGTCCTACTGAAGTGTCGGCTGACAGTCGGCCAATACGTTGGCCACCGTTTACCTTCTAATGTACAAGATGTGTCAGTGGTGTGTCAGTGGTGTGTTGGTGACTTTGTTTGGGCCTTACTTATGCAAAGCAATGCTAAACCTTCCTTTTCCACGCTTATCTGTAATGTCGTCTTGGGAAAACTTTCACTCGCAGTATGAAAATGAATAATTTCTTTTGGCCACCATTTTGTTTATCATGTCATTGGAACCCTGTCCCTACTCAGTTACTTATCCTAACTGAGCATTAGATGAACATTTCCCTTATTTTTCCATAATAACACCTTAATATTCCAAACTGATGCCTGTTGTCGAGTTTTTACATTTTTAACACCTAAAACACTTCAATTTTATTACATTGGACATTGACTTTTTCAAACATGGTGGCTCCTAAAGGAGCCATTTTTTTTGGCAACGAAGCCCTCTTCTTCCTCAAAATGGCAATGATTTCGAGTTCCTTTTCCTATGTGGTTGATCTTACTAATGCTTTGGTAGTGTGTTGGCTGACGCGTTGGTCAATCTTACCAACCCTTAAAAAAGAAATAATTAGGAGAAGACCTAGGTATTAGTGTTTTGTTCTCAAAATGGCAGTGATTTAGATCTTACCAATGAGTTGGTGGTGTGTTGGCCAATGCGTTGGCAGTGTGTTGGCAGTGTGTTGGCAGTGTGTTGGCAGTGTGTTGGCCGTGTGTTGGCCGATGTGTTGGTAGTATGTTGGTGGTGTGTCAGTAGAGTGTCAGCCGACGCAGTGGCCGATGCATCGGTAGGTTTAGATTCTTTACCTTTACCGTTAAAATTATGTATGATTATTACACTTTATCAGTTCCTTGATGGGAATTAGCCTCTTTCTCTTTTGATCATCCCAGTATGATATGCAAATGTTTAGCATTAACCTACAATTGGCAGCCAAAGAACTTTCCCTATGATGATCCCCTTTTCTAGGGCACAGACTCTCCAATTTCTATAGCCTAGTTTTAGAGTGCAAACACTCCCTCAGTACTGGAATTATTCAAAGTCCTTTTACATTTTATCAGTCCTCTTTTTAAGAGCAATGATGTATATCCTTTTATCAACATCAAAAATTTCATTTCCACAGGGTAGGTGAATGTATGGCATGCTACACTCTTCATAGCTCTGAACCACTTCATTCGAACCTTTTCCCAGCTAAGCTTATTGTTATTTCTCAATGTTTAACTTTCAGTATGGGGCTATGGCTTTGTTTCTGTTACCATCATCAGTATCACATCCTTGGCAGGAGTGGCCACCATCCCATTTTTTGGAAAGAGCATGTACAAGAAAGTCCTGGCCACCTTGGTTGCACTTGCTATTGGAACACTGACTGGAGACAGTTTACTTCATTTGTTACCTCATGTAAGGATATAAACCCTTTACACCCTTTATACATTTTGTTTTGTACTGACAAGGAGAATTGGTCTAACAATCAAAGCTTTTTAGGGTTGGTCCAACATTCTCATGATCTCTGTGAATGATATAGCAGTATTGAGAGCAGAAATTAGATGCTGATCACTCTCAGAATTTAAAGTGTCAATGACATCATGTTGTTTAGAAATGTTTAGTGGTGTTATAACCAGAGTTTCAAATTATGAAATAGGACGATCTCAGTTGTTCAGTGAATTCAATTGATAGCCTGGGACGAGTTGCTCTCTATTCCCTTGCTTCTATAAGAAGTAAAGTATTTCATGTTTAAATTCTGACAAACCTAATATTTGAGATTGTTCTTTCATATTGCCTCTCTCAGTATAGAATATATAAACTATGTTATTTACCTGCAAAAGAAGACATAACTTACTTTACCACAATTACCCTTTTTTTCATTATGCAGGCATTTGGTCTCCATGCGCATGAAGAAGAAGGTGCCGGCCATGAAAGTCATGAAGAAGATAATGGCTTTGTCTGGAAAGCTTTGGTTGTACTGGTCTCTATTTACGCATTCTTCTTGTTTGAGACTCTGATGCATCTGTGTTTGAAGAGTAAGATTGGAGAACACAGCCACAGTCATGTTGATGTTGAGGTGGGCAAATTTAATACATTAGACACTGCATGTGCTAAATACTTTGCCTATTCCTCTGTCATATATTTTAATGGAAAAATGAGATCAGTCTTAGCATTGCTCTCACTCTTTTTTGTTTTCAGCCTGAAATCAAGAGTTTTTTGTTATCCTCGCATGATAATACTGCCAGAAAATTTTTTCAGCACTGAAACTAAGTGTTATTATCCTATTTTTGCAGCTTCCTGGTCCTTCCAGTCGGCATATGAGTTTCAAAAAGGAGAGAAAATGTTCCAGGTTGGAGCGCCGTGAAGGTGTACCGCCCATTGCCAATGATCACGAAGAAAAACCACCCATGGGAAATGGTGACATTGTTTTGACTAATGTGGTGAGTAGAATATTAAAAGCTTTCTTTACTTTGTTGGTTGGAGAAAGACCTGGGGTACTTTGCTCCACCCTAGTTAATAAATAAATGTATAAATGGACACCTGTGAGCAGTTAATACAACATTCAGCTTTTACAGGGCATTTCAGCACCTTCCTCAAATATTTGACACAAGAGGTTTACTGGGGAAATTGGGGAAAAATTTGATTATGGGGACCAATTTTTATGTTTTGTGTATAAATATTACCCTTAGTCTCTAAAGGAGATTAAGGAAGTGAAGGAGAATGTGGGTCAGAATTCAGATGCATAGGGTTATAACAGGATTAAGTTGTGAGTATTATAGAATGTCAGCACTGAAACACTCAGCTCAATTGAGGCTGCATGATGTCTGTAAAATTTCATGACAGATAGATCCTCTAAAAGTCACCAGATCAGAGTACAACGCAGAGGATATGGCACTGATGCTAACATTAAAATTGAAGAGTTATGAAAGTATCATTTTAAAAAAAAAATCCTGTAACCCTTTGACCTCTCAGAGTGACAAGCATCTAATTTCTCTTTACAAGATCATCCCAAATCACACATTAAGGTAATGAGAAAAAAAGGAAATGATCACCAACTAATTGAGCCCTTGATTGTTAAAAAAATTCTCCATGTTAGCACCTTGGGAAATGTGCAGAAAAAAGTGTGGAGAACACAGATATTTATGTTAGGGTACATTTTAAATCTGATGTGTGTAAAGTTAAGTTAATCTACTTTTGTTTAAACTCTTATTTTAATGTTTAAACTCTTAGGTTGGTTGAATTGTTTTGAATTGAAGTTTAAATGTAAACCTGTAATCTTTTATCGCTTAAGGACGGTCCCGCAGCATGTTACATCTCCAGTCCTTCGTGTACATTTTATTCACACTGTGTCTATGAGTATGTTTCTAGTTCAGACACTGAAGGGGGTGATTACCAGGTAAAGTGACAGTTGATAATGTCATGTTGATGTCATAATTAGGGGTATTCCAATGATTATGATTGTAAAAGTTGAATGATCTTACTTCCCAAACTGTTGGTTCTGATTTGGGTAAAATTTTCTATTGTAAATATGCTCTAAATGTCTTAAAAGTATAAAAGTGATGTGATCTTGTCAAATTCTTTATTGGAACTGTTTAGGGAAAGCTCATTGGTTTTCAGCATGAGAAAGCATTGAATTGTGCCTAGTACAATAATTGCTGAAACAGTGAAATTTTTAAATGAATGACTAAAGGAGAATGGATGATGAGACTGAATTCATTTTAAATTTTTATAAAATTAATGAACTTTCCACAAACAACATCTTTTGATGAAGGGCAACTTGATATTTTTTGTGTCCGATCAACAAACAATAAGACATAATTACCAGTTACTTCATGCAGTTGCAATTGGGTTGAGCACTGACAGAGTGGGCATTCTGGCTGATAAATTGATGTTCCTTTTAACCAGGGAAATTTTGTGGGATGCAAAAGTTTTGTAATGGAGTTACATTCATGTGAAATTATGCAATTTGCTCCTGCTCAAAAGATTTAAAAATGTAGCCTGACGGTTCTAATATTCAGTTGGTAATTAGACACAGAGCTCATTGCCAAAAAGAATCGCGCTGAAATGTACTTTATGCAGGTACAAAGAATAGATTTTTCTTTTAAGCAGAATGCGAAAGGTGAGGTCAATGGAGATGCACTCCCTCAGGATGCATCAGGCAAACCCAAGAAAAGTCTTAAACACAGCTTGTCACGCCGTTCAGTATTCAGTGACGAAGAAGGAATGAGGAAACCTCTGAAAAAGATATCAGCTGTTGCCTGGATGATCATAATAGGTGATACTCTTCATAACATCAGTGATGGTTTAGCCATTGGTGCAGCATTCGCCGAAGGAGGGAGTTCTGGTATCTCTGGTGGCATAAGTACATCAATAGCTGTGTTTTGCCATGAGTTGCCACATGAACTTGGTAAGAAAATCTTTATGGTACTGCATGCATGTAACTTGATCAGTTTGATATTACTACATATGTGAATGCCATGATTACCTGTTGCCTAATGGCCTTGAGCACAGGCCAGGTCATTGTGCTGTGTTGTTGGGTGAGACGCCTATTTCCCTCTGCCCCTCCTACCTCCTGTCTTTGTTCTAGCATACCATGCATTACCTGTATCATACCAAAGCAAAGATGAGCAGTTAATAACTGAACTTCTGCCAATGTGGAATCTACCAAACATTGTACAAAATACAGTTAAACTAACATATGTTTTAGAGATGATCAATGTTTCCATGCTCTAGAATTCCCAGCAGTCACTAAACAGTTAAAATATTTATTGCATTTAATTATCAGATTATTTTTTCAATGGAGTGAGTAGTACTGTAATTTTTCTGTTCAATTTGCAGGTGATTTTGCAGTACTGCTCTCAGCTGGCATGTCTGTGAAGATGGCACTGGTAGCAAATTTTTTGTCAGCCTTGTCTTGCTATATTGGATTGGCAATTGGTATCTCTGTTGGTCAACAGGCTGATGTGCGGTTCTGGATCTTTGCCATTGCTGCAGGAATATTTCTTTATGTATCTTTGGTGGACATGGTAAGAAATATTTTCTATAGAATTTGACATATTCTATTTGCCGTACATAAAGGGCTATTTTTATTAGATAGGATTATGAACCCTAAAGCCAAAGGTGACGGTTTTAGGTTCCTGGGTAGGTTACCTTGTTGTTTCTCAGGCAGGAGCTTGAGTGGGTACCAGTTCACTGTCAGGGAAATCTGGCAAAATGCTGGAGGAGGGGTGTGGTAACCTGGAGCAGACTTGCAAAATATGTATGCCTTGAGAAACGATACACTGTAGTTTTCAGTTCAGAGCTAACATAACAACTTATATTTTTGCAGCTGCCAGACCTGATGCACAGCGAGTCATTGCAGACTGAACCAGTAGTAACATTTGCTTGTCAAAACTTTGGCATACTGCTTGGAATTGCGATTATGTTGGTGATATCCTTGTATGAGGAAGATCTGATGGATCTTAATTGGTAGTGGATGTTTGCCTTTCTGAAACTGTTGTTTTACAAATAGAAAAAGATTTCTCTGGGCTCGTCAGTATTGTAGTAAATGACTTTGTTGTAGTGCGTAGATTAGTCAGGATATTTAAGTGAGTGAGTGACATGAGTGGCACAAGTGCTTTCTATATATATATATATATATATAGATATAGATATATACATAGATGAGTCAGGATATTTTAAATGAGTGAGTGACACAAGTGGCACAAGTGCTCTTTATATATGTTGAGTTAGTAACACTGGCTTTGCCATCATATTCCAGTTAATGGACACATCAAGGTTTTTAAGTGTATACAAGTGATGTGCTGTATTGTCAAAATGCATTTGGCATGTAGAAATATTATTGTCCTATGTAAGGTTCTCTGATGGCTAAATGCTACTCAGATAAATCCGTGAATGAAAATGTGGGAAATTCATTCAGTTTCAGCTTCTTTTTATGTTTCTGTAGCCACTCAAATTCTTTTTAACAACCTTTTGGAGCAACATCTGTACCTGAAATTCCTTTACTACAAGGTTAACTGATGCACAAAGTTTAGGGTAATGACAAAGGTTCCTTCAGATCTTGAACAAACCTGAGAGAAAAACAAATTATCTGTTACTAATCATGGTAAATGAAAGGGTTTTCAACAAAGGACTAGAAATTCAGGCTCAATTTTTTTCTCATGCAAAATGACGTTTGGTATTTTTCATAGGGGTTTAATATTTTAAATCTGTAAACTCTAATTTAGATGGGAAATACTGTGTTATAATGTACTGACTTGTGAGATTTCAGACATTCTTGCATTTTTATGTAAAATGACGTTTAGTGTTTTTCCTAGGGGGTTCAAAATTTTGAATCTGTTAACTCTAATTCAGATTGGAAATACTTTGTTGTAATGTACTGAATTGTGAGATTTCAGATATTCTTGTATTTTGAATGCCAATAATCATTTAGCATCAATTATTACACTTTGAATTGTGTTCTTCCTATGTGCCACATGATTGACAGATGTTATAAAAACAATTTTGTCTCAAATCAACATGTTTTACTACTTGTTTAAGTGTAAAATAGCATGTTCAAAATAAGCCCATTGAAAATTGCAGCTGACAAAAACTGAATTATTTTCCAAGGGAGGATATTATTTTTATTTGTTCAAAACTGTGTACAAAACATCTGACTAACAGCTGGTACACGAGATGAAAATACTTTTTAAATTTAGGCACAAAATATAGAGGAAATTAAGGTGATAATATTTACAGTACTGTTGTTCTACTAGTTTCTTTTTATATTTGAGAAAACTAGATCAGGATTTTAATTATCATTAATATGCAGCTTTTTAAGGTAAGGAGTTAATGATGTAATTCATACTGTTACAGTGTTCTTAATTCTCATTATATTTGAATAAAACGAGCATCTTTTACAAGATGAGTGAGATTTTTCGTATCTGAAATATATTTATGTAGCTATTATTTTATGTCTTATGACAATCATCAGGGAGGCTAAATAAAGGTTAGTTTATTTTTTACCCCTTACTGCTGGTTCAAACTGGACACCATGCTGCCATTTATGTCAGTTTGTTGAACCACTGGCACCATAAAATTTTCTGATACCCTTAAATCTTTTGATTCTATGCTATAAAGCCTGGTAATTCTTTGACACCCTTTATCAGTTATATGCTGGATAAAGCTCCCCCATGCCCTCTCTGCTGCAGCTCATTCAGGCAATCTATAATACTTGTAACTTCCAGTTTTTATTCAGTTTCCAAATTATCAATATTACATTGACTGATCTGCAAATAGCCACTGCTAGGTTAACCTTAACTCCCAGACCAAGTTTGTAATTCTCCTTATTGTCAACTATACAATTCTTATGGTGTTAGTTCGGAGAATTTAGTATTGGATCAACTAATTATCCCCAAATTAATATTTTTCTTTATTTTTATCACTTCTTTTGGTTGATACTATATTGATATTGTAAGGAGAAATTCTGTCTTGGTCACTCATGAGTAAAAGGGTTAAGGTGGGTCTGTAAGTAAGATTGAGATACCTGACTAAACTATCTGAGCTACCTACCTTAAAAAAGGTTTAAAGCTGACATTTTGAGTGTTAGCTCTTTATCAGAGTGAATGACAGAGGGCTGATGCTCTAAACATCAGCTTTGAAACTCCTTACAGTGGCTAATCTACATGATTAACTTGGTTGAAAATACTAAATAACTCCATTATACTCTCCCACCAATGCAGCACCACAGTTTCTTTAGGAACTTACCCTCTTTATCTGAGCTAACTGCCTAAACTAAATTGGATTCAGCATTAGGAAATACTTACAATTAAACACAGTTTTACAACTTATACATAGGCTGAAAAGAGAAGTGTTTTTGTAATTGTTTCAGAATTTAAGCAATTGTCTTTGCCAGGATCCCAAACAAAATTTTATTACATTTTGTTGAAAAATATTTTCCAGGTAGGTCTCTAGACAGGTTGCAATGATCTTGACAGAGTAATCATGGCTGATTTTGATCCCTTTCTTGGTTTACTTGTCACTCTCACAGTACCCCTCTTCATCAAGGAGTTTAAATAGGTAGCATTGAATTGAATACTTCACTGATCATAGCTTGAATTATTGGTAACCAGAAGGTGATTCTGAATTAGAGCTGACATCTAAGAAGGATGAAATGTTTGCACTAATTACCTTGTCATCATCATTGTCACATCAATACACTGCCACCTTGTAAATTGGTCTTGTAATTTAATTACACAGTGACGCAATGGAAATTATCAAGAATTATGACCTGATTCTCGGGAATTGCCACTACAATAGATATTTTAAGTTCACAATGGTTTATATTTAATTGAAATTCTTCTATATGGCCTCAATTCAGCAGGCTATGTTTCTGGGAAGAGACCTGGAAACCAGTATAATCTTTCATTGGGTGCTTGGTCATCAACCCAGGCCATCTCTTCATGAACCATGTGATCCTAAAAAATAACAACAATAATAACTGAAAAACCAACAACAGAAAAATCAGCAGGTGATCTAAAACCCAAATTTATTTTTCTTGATACTGGCTAGTACATTTCCCTTGCCTGTAATGAGAATTAAGTGTAAAATCAGGGCATATGATAATTGCAGATAGTTCTCCATGTTCCCATGTGACCAGCAGATTTAATGATCTATTGGTAAGTATGGAGAAGTTACTTAAACGATTCCCTTGCTTAGGGTGGTTTGGTTAGCTTTATTTTGAGTTCTTGTTGGCTCTTTAAGGCATTTTCCTTTCTTCCCATTGGTTATTGTGATTATTTGGGCTTACTTTATCAAGACACTTAGTCAAAAAGTGCTCATTTATGTAGCTTACCAAAACTCTCTTTGTGCGATCAACATCCCATCCTAGATCCTTCATTATGGATGATACAGATGTGCACCCTGTACCCTGGGGAAACAGAAATTAGTGCAGAGTTGGCTACAAAGGTAACAAATTTAGGAGACTTCTGTCAGAAACTTGCTGCTAGAAAATTATCATCCATGCTTCTCAAAATATCATTGGTCAGTTAAGACAAGAAAACTGAAATATTACAGTCATATTATTTATAAAAATAGTAATATATATGTGTAGGGATATGCTAGGCAAAGAGTAGGAGGGGGAAAGATGACAAGGAAAATAATGACAAGAGCCAACAAAAGTCTGTAAGGTGTGGTCAGGGGTGTCTCTAGCAAGTGTTGGGAGGGGGAGAGAGAAGTCCATGACAGAAACCAACCATTTTGGTTGCCATGGTAAGTAAAAAAGCTTTTTGTTGATTAAATTTGCATTCTTCATGAGAGAATAGCAAGTTTTACCATTTTATTTCCTTGGCATGGCTTAAAATACAAACCTGTGCGAGCTGAAGAGCAGCAGTGTGATCCATGCTCAATTCTCCTGGCACTGATTGGACAAGCCGTTTGGTACCGACTGGTATGATCTGGAAGCCACTTCCCATTACATGTAGCTTTTTGATGGCACGTGCCAAATCATCCCTGGAATGAACAGGGTAGCAAAGTTAGCCTTTGAGCTTCATGAGCAACACTATGAAAGCTTGTTCTGGTTTCGGCAGCATAAAGCCACTAGAACTATTGCTGCTCCCCATGGATGGCCTGGGTGGAGAAAGGTACTGTAATAGTAAAGTGTTTTCCACAAGAACACGCACAAAAATTAACCTGGCCAAGTCTCAGATCTGGAACCCATAATTCAAAGTTTTTCATCCTTAAATTGAAATGCCACAGCATCTCCCATTTTCAAAATGGTGACTTCTTCATAATTAAGTCAAGAATACCTAATTTCTTCCACCAAACTTAAAATAAAGTAAACCAAAAATTACTTTGAAAGTAAACTTGCAACTCTTACTCAGATACATCTTGTCTAGATTTGCTAGTCTTGAGAATTTTCTTGTGTAACTCATCCATTGTCATCAGGCCTAAGATGTTAAAAAACAGATATAAACATTCATACCATAGATTCAAAAGGGAAGACAATATTTATTTATCTGTTGCTTATAGAGACTCAAATGCATATACAACAAATTTCTGGATATTAATAGTGTACTGTTCAGTATTACCTGCAAATCATTCAATCTAACTTGACACTAGCTATGTGAACATGTCTTCTCATATCATGAAGGAAATTTTTAACATCCTGTAAAGATTGCACAAACCTCCATTCCGTGACCTTGTTGCCATGCAGATTTCAACAATTTGGATACCAAGCTGGTTTAGAATAAGACAAGAAGAACATGAAGGCAGTTTAATAACAATGTTACTATCCTTTACTCATAGTTGTGGGAGGATTTAGACTTTAGATGACCATGCAATAGTTTTACTTACTGTTGAAAAGAATAAGTGTTGCACTTCACAACGGTTATTGATTGCAAAATAGATAACCAGTTTTCTTTGGAGTTATTGACACCAGTAAGTAACACCAGGTTGCATACATCATGCAATGACATCAATGACAACTTCTATAGGTTCTAGGATTACAAGTTATAACATAATATTTTTTAGCTTTTGCCTTTTGCTAAGCTCAGTTTTTGTGTCTTTGTAAATTTTTCACCTTTGTTAATAAGTCTTGTGTTGTAAGCCATACTTTTTTCCCATTGGGTGAAGTATTGGTAATAGTGTATTAGGAGTGCCTTGCAAAGGATCTTGCTATTAGTTTGTTTTTGGTGTTTCATCTGACTACCTACCTCATAGTAGAAATCTCCAACACCAAGCAGCTCTGCCCAGAAACCTTTGCTTGCTGAAATGCAAGTGGCAGCAAATGTGGTATGAGAATTTGATGTTTCTTCAGTTGAAGCGACATGCCTTGGTTTTCCCTCTGTTTGATGGTATTCCATCATATGTATGAACACAAATCCAGAGATGACTTGTGCTACTAGAAATAAGAGGTTTTTCCAACCTGTTCTCTATGTGGCTTTCTACCTTGCAGACCTCAGTTGTTCTGAGTGTTGATGATGCTAATGCCTGATACATGTAAATGCGAATATTTTGTTTTGGTTTCTCCGATCCTCAAACAAGTATATAATAGTCTTGAGAGGTTAACTCAGTGTGAGGCAAAACTGATGAGACACAAAATTAAGAATAAATGCCTACAAAATGGAATAAAACTTCAGCAAAATTCATGTTTTCCACTGGTTAAGATAATTATTTTAAACTACTGGGCCAGAGCGGCCATACATATAGCTTACATGCCAAAGGGTCGACACCGATGCGAGCACACATCTGCTGAAAGTGGCCTCTAAACTCAGGGTTCTTCTTAATCTCCTGTTTGTACTTCCCTGCGAAGTCTTCGAGTGATGTCTTGAAGGAATCTAGCTGTTTCCCCATCTAAAAGTAAAAAGGCATGGCCAAAATTTTCTGAGAAGAGATAGCTATCTTAAATAT